GGTGAGGGTGTTTTCATATGCGTTTGGCCAATCAATGTCTACTTACGTCACGATTAGTACCAGTTGTGCTGGTTAGACCCTGCTCCGGAGTAGGAGCTAATTTGGTTCTCGAAAAAGGCAGTCTGGTACTAAAATGACTCCCAGTTCCGGCAGTGCGAACACGCCGAAAAGTGGGTAGTTCCACAATTAGTTCTGGTACTATGAAAAGGTTCCTGCGGCGCGAAAGGCCCTAGTGTCTGGTTGTGGTGCCCTGGACTGGCCACTTGAGGGCGCTGTTCCTGTTTCTGTGTTACATGTTTTGAACTCCGTTTCCCATAGTCCTTTGCTTTGTCGTTTTGTTCTGATCATTATCACCTGTTGGCAATTTACTCATCATTTCATCACTACTTATACCATGCTCTCACTGTCTGTCTTTGCTGCAGTATTGTTTGAGTTACGTCGTGTTTTCTGTTCCCTGTGTTTTGAATTTACCTTTTGCCTAGTTTGTTCTGTTTTGGATTATTTGTTATTTTAATAAACTTACTGCACTTGGGTCTAATTTTGTTTTCTCCTGGCATTCCATGACAGAAATTAGTGAGATTATCAAGAATGTTGTAGTGTATATATATATAATTTTTCCCCCCTTTTTTTGCCATCGGTTTTAACTCGTGCTGATAGCTTACATAAATGTAACTTCATACAGAGTTCACTTTTTTCATCACTTTAACTTGTGGCTGTTTGGCACTGCAGTCAATATTCTGTAGAGATCCTTATCAAGAAGCTGTCCAAATCATTTCTGTTTCCATCAAATTATAAATTAAGCACGCATGTCAAGACATTTAGCTCAAGATACGAGTGGAGAACTCTGGAGGACACACAGTTGCTAACACATGCTGGTTGAGCTCACAGAAAGATGCTTTTGCTTATATGAATATGCATCTGTTTTGCTCTAGCTGCTTCATATTTTCCAGTTTATGGGACCATCACAAATAGGCTATTTGAATTATATGAAACTAAAAACCCATGTTAGACCAACCGAATATTCCAAAAAGTGGCCCTGACTGGTCAAACATAGTTGTCTGAACACAGAATTTCATATTGAACAATATTGCTGAAATGTTATGGGTTTGTGAGTTCCCAGCATGCATCGTGAATAAATTATCCGGTTACTGTTAAAGGATTATTGTTTTCCTGTTTGCTGACTTTATTCAAATGTTGCCTTAATGAATGGGTCATTGTGCATTTATTGAACAATCAAATTTAGAATTACGAAACAAATAGTAAGAATAATTTTAAGACCACAGCTGAGAGAACTTAAATGCATAATTTTAGGTACAAATGAGAATGAATCCATTATAAATGTATCAAGGCAAAGATCTTCACGTTTCATCAGCCCTTGGTGAGCCTATGGAGTGTGGAGGTCTTGAATGAAGACAAATATGTTGCGTGGTTTTTATCACTGGGGTCTGTGATGAGGTGAGTATTACCATGGTACCAGTCAATCATCTCAAACTTTCAGAGCAGCTTTTGCATCATTAGTGGTTCTTTGTATATTAGCAGTCTTTAGGCAGGGGAGTAAGTGCAAATCTGACAATGACAGTTATAAGCCTTAGAAAAAAGGTAAGTTTTTAACTTGGATTTAAATTCAGATTCTGAAGAGATATGGATATTATAGGCTAAAGCACATGACCAGTGAAAGAAAACAATTGAATTTGGGTTAAAATGGATCAAAAATATGACAGTCAAAAAGCACCATGCATTTATAAAAATGTCCAATAATAATGTCCAATAATATAAGAATCCTGAATTAAAAATATATTGATAATAAGAAAAGTTTTGTGAGCACCAAATCAGCATAGAATGATTTCTGTTATTTTAAATTGTAATATTTCACATTACTCCTTTACTATATGTTCTATCAAATAAATTCTGCCAATTTAAACATGAAAATCAGCCTAATCAGCCCTAAACTTTTTATCAGTAATGTATATATCCATATTTATCACAAAATTGCATCATGAAACTTTGACATATTCATAAAGATGATCATTGATAATGAAATTATACATTATTCTTAATCATGTCCTTTTAGATGTACTTATATTTTTAAATATTATCTTTTTCATGTGTCACATTAACTACCACTGAATGAGGCTTTGACATGTAACATCATATCAGAACACAGCATTGTATTATGGCTGAAAACCTCTCTCAATTGGAAATTGCTACAGAGCAGTTTGGGGCCATCAACAAACTGTAGCACTAATGAGAAGTCATCTGTGGAAGTGTGTTCAGGTCCTGCTCTGCTGTCTGAGGGAGCATGGGGTCATAAGATGTGTATGACTAAACCTCAATGGATGTCTTGTAAGCTACAAGAGCAGATCATTAAATTACTTTCTTTTATACAGTTTATGAAGCAATGCCCTGCTCATACATTCATTTCCCAGATTAATTTAATTAGAGGTTGCAGAACATTTGTACTTGTATTAATTATGCTATAATATTCTGATGAGCCTTCAAGGGATTAGAATACATTTGGGATCAAAGTGCTCTTGTGTGTTTGGATCTGAAAGTGCTTCTCATTGTTTAACATGGATGAGGATCATGCATATAATCAGCATCTTAAAATCAGAAAAGTAGGTGTTTATTTGGTTAACTACAGAGGAGTGAAGACTTTATTCATCTCATCTCATGAAATGCTCTCTCATTACTTTCAGTCTTCTGAACAAAATAACTGGATTAGACATTTCTCAGGCAAAACTGCAAGTCTTTATAAACTGCTACTGTTTGCACAGTATTTCTTGTATTTATTATAACTTTATTGACATTTACATTTCAACAAAATCACCAGATGGAGTGCCCTTGATAGCCACCAGAGGGCACTCCATCCCATACCTTTGCCACTCTATCCTGGACTACATTTTCCATAACCCATTGCCCGGACTCATCATGCCTGATTGTCTTCACCTGTTGCTCATTACCTCTGCCTATATAAGCCTGGTGTTTTCAGTCACTCTTTGTGAAGTCTTTTCCATTTGTCTTTTTGTTTTTACCCTGGGATGCCCATCTTGAGGAAACTAGAGGTTACGCCAGCTCCCGTGTGCAGGGGTCTGCATCATCTCTTCACAGGGGTTGGGTCACAGAAAGACTTCAGATGACCCAACACCTGTAAAGAGATGATGCAGACCCCTGCAAGGACCCCAGATGACGCCAACTTGAATCGATATGTACAACTGCCAACATTTCTCTATGTTGTAATCATTATGATCACACTTGTAAAAATCGCTTTAATGAGCTTCTGCCTAAAGTTAATTCATGGTAGCTAACTGTATGATTCTATTATTTTGAACTGTTCGTTTGTGAAGAGGGGTGCTGCTATGTCACCAGATGGAGTGCCCTTGATAACCACTAAAAGGCACTCCATCCCATAACTTTGCCACTCTATTCTGGACTGTGATATTTCCTATAACCCCTTGCCCTGACTCATGCCTGATTGTTTTCACCTGTTGCCCATTACCTCTGCCTATATAAGCCTGGTGTTTTCAGTCACACTTTGTGAAGTCTTCCATGTGTCACAGCTGTAGTTCTAAGCCTTTTATCCTGGTTCTCTCGTGTCTTGTTTTCCTGGTTCTTTATATTTTATATTACTGTTTGCCTCAGCCCTGAAAACTGTAATTGTTTCGGACTGCTTATTGTGTTTGATCCCATGTTTTGTCTACGATTGTGGATTATCCTTTAATAAACTACTGCACTTGGATCCTCAGACTTTGTGTCCCTGTGCAGTTTTGTGACAGTTCGCTATTACAGGTGCATCTTGATAAATTTGAATGTCGTGGAAAAGTTCAACTCAATTCAACTCAAATTGTGAAACTCGTGTATTAAATAAATTCAATGCACACAGACTGAAGTAGTTTAAGTCTTTGGTTATTTTAATTGTGATGATTTTGGCTCACATTTAACAAAAACCCACCAATTCACTATCTCAACAAATTAGAATATGGTGACATGCCAATCAGCTAATCAACTCAAAACACCTGCAAAGGTTTCCTGAGCCTTCAAAATGGTCTCTCAGCTTGGTTCACTAGGCTACACAATCATGGGGAAGACTGCTGATCTGACAGTTGTCCAGAAGACAATCATTGACACCCTTCACAAGGAGGGTAAGCCACAAACATTCATTGCCAAAGAAGCTGGCTGTTCACAGAGTGCTGTATCCAAGCATGTTAACAGAAAGTTGAGTGGAAGGAAAAAGTGTGGAAGAAAAAGATGCACAACCAACCAAGAGA